TTTCCTCTGGAATCTACAGAGCTGCCCAGCAATTTCATTTAGAAATTTTTGCCAAATGTCCTTGGGCTCACATACAGTATTAAGTGTGCAATTGCAATAAAGATAACACCATGCTAATCCTGCAGTTAGCTAACGCTTATATTTTGCTGTCTCATTTCAAATTTTTATACTTGCTAGAAAATTGTGTACATAACGATGTAAAAGACATTTGAAATATGAACCATCCAATATGTATTTAAGCATGTAAAATGGTGTTTTCTGTTACAGTGAGAGATAATATAATGTATATAATGTAAAGGAAATTGGTACGTGAACTATGAATTAAATCCCTATAGTAAGCTAGGTTTTTGAAAATATTTCACCCCAATTCAATGTAAGTCAAAAGCGTAATATGGTTGCAAAAAAGACTCTTAGCACAAGAAACATCTTGTCACAAGGTACCATAGTAACTGCTAGAGGAAATTAGTGCCTTACACTATGGGAAACACAAATACATGAAAATATTAACTACTTAAATGTGAATAAGTGAGGAATGTCACAAACAGCATATTGAAGACTATCTATGGGTAAAACTTCATTGACTATGCTTGGAAAAGTAAAAAGTAAAGTGCTAGACTCGGGCACAGATCAGAGATATGGACCGAGAAAAATGACTTTCTCAAACCCTGCTTGGCTCTCTCAAGGATATTTGTTTTTCACAATGTAAAAGGCAGAACAAATATTCATGAGAGGAAACTGACACCTCAAGTAGATGAGGGCATTGTAAGGTAGCATCCGGGCACTGCCAATGAATATATTTAAACTTTAGATAATTCTGACTAAATTAACTCAAAATGAAATCCCTAAATTATTGCTGTAATTTTTGAGAAACTATGAACTCTGAAGGAAAGGCAAGTGAACTCCATTAACTATAGACAGTAAGTTAAATACCAAATCTCGAATTATTAAAATAACTGTGCATAAGCACTTAGAAAAATAATTTATCGGTTAATTTCTTTTTACTCTCCCTAGAAGAGCACATAACAGAACGCAAACACTAGTTAAGTACTTTTAAGCAAAAATTTTGAAAAGAGCGAATATGCTATTGTTCTGAGCAACAAGGAGAGGACCCTGCAGCCGTGGAGTGACGGTTCTTAAATTAGACAAAACAATCTAGGGCTCTTGATGTAAGTGGTGTTTACAGCACAAGACTGTTTTCTGTCCTTATCTGATAAGCATTTTTGTGTCTTTGTCATCTTTTTTTTAATGAAAAGAAGATAGGATCTCCTTTCAATTATACTGGATGATGTGAAAACCATAAAACTGTGCCGTTTTTTTTTTATGAAAAAAAGATTCCCTTTTACTGTACCATTTGTGAGGCCTCATGTATGGCTTAAATAATTTTCCCATTATATCCTGCCTCCTGCAGTAGTATTTTGATGTTCTTGCATGTTAACATTTATAGAAATTCCTATTTTGAGCTTCTTCTTTCTGTTGAAAATGTTTGCTGAGCTAACACTGGTTACTTTAAACCACTTTCTCAAAATTCATATTTACTGGCATACCAGGGCCTCCTATGCAGAGATGTATACAAACTCCTAGTTGGGACAATGAAGCCCCTCCCACGCCCGCCCGCCTGGCTCTGCTCCTGCGCTGACCGGCGCGCACTCTGGGGCGTCAGCCACACAGTAGGTGCTCTTGCTACCTGAGACTCCCAGTCCTCTTCCTAGCACCCCTCCCCTCCCTTTACCTGGTCAACTCTGAATGGTGCAGTGTTTCAAAAAGCAAATAAAAAGAAGTTTAGTTAAGTTTCTTTCTATTGTAAGTTACAGAAACACCAAAGGAAGAAAACTTAAGGGGACTTACTGGCTTATGTCAATTGGAAGGTCCACAGTGGAAAATCTGGCTCACGGGGTTTGAAGTATGTTTCTGGGATCCGCGCCTCACCCCGTCTTTCAGCTTTGCTTGTTCCCTGACGGCTCAGGCAGGCCACCGACCGCCCTGCGCGGCATTACCTCGGCTTTCCACAGTTCCAGTGAAGGAAGAGTGCTTCTCTTGACAGTTTCAGCAAAAAAATCCTCTAGAAAAGCATTGACTGGCCTGACTTGAATGGCAGCCCATACGATCGCCGAGGCCGGAGCCATGGGTACTTCAGGTGACCCGCCTGCGAGGTGGAAACCACCCCTGTGGTAGAAGATGGGAGAGAAGGGAGGGATGCAAATGACAGCTGACTGAAAACCAGTGAAGCATCCATGTGCTCTTTCTAGAGCTCAATGTGAAGCCCTAGTTGGGTCCGAAGTAAATAGTGTAAAACCAAGAAAAGATATAAGGCTTTACAGCTAAACACAAACAAAAGAAGAGGAAAATCGTGCAGTTGTGAACTGAGACCGTGGTCTGCAGCCTGTTGTAGCTACAAGGAAAGAAGAAAAAGGCAGCAGAAGTGAGCACGGGCAATGCCTACATTGAAGAAGAGGCACACGTGGGTGCACCTGGGCACATGTGGGCACAGGACGGGGCGGGGGAGGCATCAAGCTGGAAAGTTCCGGAGAATCACAATGCCAGGAGGCTGGGCACTGATGTCCTGAGAGAGACAAAGGGTGGCCAAGCGGCCGACTGGAGCTGGCGGTCCTGAGATGGGGTGTGAAGGTGTCTGACTCATCTCAGGTTGGGAATTTTCACTCCACAGGCTGTGCTGGAACAAGGGGCAAGAGGACATAGGGCCTCATGGAAAATGTCCAAGTGCTTCTGGGGTTCACGCGGCAGGGGCTGGGTCATGGGTCCCTGCGTGAGGCTGAAGACGCAGGGTCAGGGGAGGGAGGGTGGGGACAGGATCAAGAGGGTGATCTGGAGTCTCTAAGTCCGAGCTGAGCTTCCACGTGGGTAACAGTCCCTTTGGTCTTAGTCTGTTCCAGCTACTGTGACAGAAACACCACAGACAGGAGGCTCATAAACTGCAGGCATTTCTCTCTCCCAGATGAGGCTGGACATCTACGGTCAGGTGCCAGCAGATCTGGTGTCTGGTGCAAGCTGTGTCCTTGTTCATAGACAGCTGTCTGATCGGGTGTCCTCTCTCGGTAGAAGGGGTGAGAGCTCTGTGGGTTCCTTTAAAAGGGCACTGATCCCTTCATGTGGGCCCCACCCTCATCACCTCATGAGCTCCTCACACCATTGTCGTTGGGATTCTGACAGTACTTTGAGGGCTAGGATTTCAGTATGTGAATGTGGGCAGCACAGACATTCAGGGCTGTGGTATTGCTGAAGCAAAGTGAAAGAAACTGCTGGGTCCACACTGCCAACATTGGGTTTTGAACTGGGTGTCCTCAGGCGTATTGAAGTAGCAGGAAATGATGGTTCAGGGTAAAAAATTATGCCAAGTGCCTAAGTCCACAATAATTTGAGGGCACATTCAACAGCCTGGTCATCAAAAATGAAAAGAAAATATATGTGAGGGCGAAATCTGAGGCCAGCAGGCTCAGAGGAGGAAAGTGACTTAGAAGTGGTCATGGTCCTTCAGTGGCAAAGATCTATTCATTTCTTACGGACACTGTAACAAATTACCACAAATGTGGTGGCTTCAGACAACAGAAATGTATTCTGTTACAGTTCTGGAGGCAGGCGTACAGAAGGAGCTGCCAGGTCCCATCATGGGGCAGGTGGCGCTGCATTCCTGCCCCACCTACCTCCTGCCCCTGCCGCTCTCTGGTGGACCCCACTTGGGGGTCTCCAGTTTCTGCCACTGACATCCTTGTAGTCTCATAATGCCAGCCTGCCTCCACGGGTTCATTGCCATCTCGTCTTCTCCCTGCACATGTCATCAAATGTTCCTTTGCCCCTCTCTCTCTCTCTCTCTCTCTCTCACACACACACACACACACACACATACACACACACACATACCATATAAGGTAGCATTCATAGGACCCAGATATTAGGACAGTGCTACCTTTTGGGGTGCCTTTGTTTAGTCTACCATAAATGGTGAAGATGTCGCAGCAGGGTGCCTGGGAAGGAGCTGGAGTCTGCTTAGACCAGGGCTGTGCCTGGCTTCAGGCCAGTGCCCGCCTGTGCACACACAGTTTTATGGAAGCAGAGCCGTGCCAACTGGGTTGCTCATCCTCGTCGGCTGCTTTCTTGCTACAAGGCCGGAGTGGAGAAGTGTGACGGTCACTATAGGGTCCTCAAAGCTGAAAATATTTACTATCTGGCCCTTTACAAAACAGTTTTCCAATCCCTAAGTTAGACCATGAATGTGACAGAATCATCCTGGAGAGATGATGAAGCTTTTCATTCACAGCGGATCAGTAGTCATGCGTGGGTAAGAAAGTCCACGTGAGAAAGAGCTACAAGATGCTGCTGGAGTTTACAGTTGGACCTCAATAGTTAAGGGTTAAAATTGTTTATTAAAATGATAATGTTGAAAACAGTATTCAGATGAAAGTGATAAGAAAATGTATATTATTAAAATATTTTGCTACTTGCTTGATAAAATGTATCAGCCTATATTTTTATATATATACAAATATGTATATCGACTAATTACATAGTTGCTTTGCAATATATTTGCTTAAAAATATTTCTCTCAAAGTTTGTGTATGCAATTAAAGGATAAAGTGAAATGGGAGTATAATAGTGTTATCAAGGTAAAAATAAGGTGGGCTTATGATAGTGTTTGATTAAGTCAAGAAAGATTTGAAAATGTAGACACAAAGGGATGCTAGAGAGACTGAGGGCCAGGAGGGGATACGAGAGGCAAGTCATGATCATGACTGTCCCAGCAAGGAGAACCCGGGGAGGGCGCAGGCTTAACAAGCGAGCTGAGCCTGTTCCCCTCCAGCACGCCAAGAAGCAGCCATGGACAGAGACCAAGAAACCTGGAAGCAGAGACGGGAGCAGAAAAGAAGTTGTGAAACATTTTAACAAGTGGAATGTGTCTGATTATGAATTTTAGAAGCATGGGGTCTATATAGCATCCTGATTAAACTGGGACCCTGGAGGATTGGGTGAGAAATTTTTATCAGAAACCCAGAGGCAGGTCATCTGCCAAGCGCAAGGAATAAACACTAGGGCATGGCTCTGGACAGTACGTTTAACAGCCGTTGCAGGGAATGCATGTGGGGGCTTCTCAGGAGGCCACAGGGGAGCTGACACTCCACCGGGAAGCATGGGTTTGGCCCAGTCATAGGGAAGGGTGTGTGTGTGTGTGTGTGTGTATGTGTGTGTGTGACAGAGAGTATGTGTAAGAGAGATGGGGAGTTAGACAGGGAAAGAGAAAGCTATACAGAGAGACAGGGACTGAGGGACATTCTCAGCTGAGATCCACAGTGCTGCAGTAGGAGCTGTGGCTGTGACCCTGGGGACTTCCTGGGGGTGCAGTTGACTACAGCAGATGCAGCCAAAGTTGGGGGACAGAAGGATTCTTATCAATGTCACAGTGCCACAGTGACTGCGTCCATGCGAGTGAAGCAGAAAGGGGCCAGTGCCTGGGACAGCAGGAACGTGTTGGAGAGGGAATGGTTTTGTTCATTCTTGCATCCTTGGTGATGAGAAGAGTTCCTGGAACACAGCCAGTGCTCATATAGTCGAGGACTGAATTAACAAAAAATTACATTTTTGAGAGCCTACAATGTACCAAACACGCCCATCATGACAAACTCCCCAAATGGGGTTCTCACTGGCCGCCATGCTGCTCCACCCTCACCATCAGCCAGGCCCAGAAAGGAGAGAGGATTTGCCAGAAAAGATGGCTAGTAAGGGCCGAGCTGTGAGCACACCCAGGCCCCCGGCCCATCCCCTGCACTGCACGGCTGGGCTTCCTCTCACGGCCCTGCAGGGGTCTCATGAGGGTGCCACACAAGGGCAGGGCCAGGGGAACAGTAGGCAAGGTGCCCCCCGAGGGACAGAGGCTCTGGGTCTGCACCTTTTCTCAAAAGCAGAGGCATTCATGTCTGCCCTCCCACCTTTCACTGCCTACCTGATGGAGCGTGCTTGTCCAGAGGTGCCACGGTCAGGCTGCCCGTGGTGACAGGGCCGGGAACACAGGGAGCACAGAGAAGGTATCCAGAGGGAAGAGTTAGGGTCCACGGAAAAGGCCTAAACAGAGAATGCCAGGGAAGCAGTCAGAGACACTGGCAGGAAAAGGGAACCCCCCTGGTGGCTAAGGTGGGGGGCCAGGTCAGCCAAGCCAGTAGCTGTGGGTGTCGGGCACACCAGAGGCACAGCATCAAGAATGCAAAGGCCCTTCCCTTAGAACCAGGCCTCCCCGGCAGGGGCGCTTCCCAGCAGTGGGTGCAAGAGTGGCTGAGAAGGGGCGAGTCAAAGGGGGCCATCAGTGCTGGGGACCCCAGGGATCTCGCTGTGCTGCTAACACAGCCCTGCCTCTGTCCTGCTGCACCCCACAGCCGTCTCACAGTAGTCCCCTCCTGCCCCCCGCGTTTCTCCCTGCCCAGTTTGCCCTCAGCCTGCCATCCACTGCTCGGAAAGAATGATGTCAGATTGCATGCCGCCTTCCCATTTGCGATAAGTGCCATCAATCGATTTGGTGATAGTGAAGTTAGCACTCTCTGGGCTCCTTTAGGGAAGGCTCACAGCCCTTGTAGATGGTTGAGTGTTGGCAAAGTTAATTTCCTCAAAAATAGGGCCTTTCCAAGTCTATCCTGACATGAGCTGCTTCAGCATCTATAATTGCACCACTGAGGCTGAGCAGCCAGGCCCTCTCTGGCCACCCACTTCCTTACAACAAGCTACCATCACAGCAGCCTTCACCAGCCTTCGCATCCCTCGCCTCCATCTGCCGCAAGTCTCACCCGCCTTCTGCCGGGTCCTGCTTTCAGGATTAGCCCACTTACGATCCGGGAGAACTTTGGAAACAATTCAGTCAAGCAGGGCATTTTCTACCTGCTGTTCTGGCCCCTGTGGCCACTGGAATTGCAGCCTGCTGAGCTTCCGAGGAAAATGTGGAGGAAGGAACCAAACAGTAGCCACGTCCTCATCCCCACCTTCCGAGCAAGCGGCTGAATGTCAGCAGTGCACAGATGGCACGGACTTCAGAGTCCTGAGTGGAGAAGAGAGAGAGGCAGGTTCTACATCATGAATCAATCAATCCAGGGGCTTTTCAAGTGAATAAAAAAGGCAGCAGTCTGAGCTGTTTCCTTCTCCACGTCTACCTGCACTCCCCTGCTTTTAAGTGTACCTGGTGTCTCTACAAACAAAAATATTAAGGGCACTCAGGTCCTTCAAACAAAGCAACTGTGATCTCTTTGTGGCTGCAGCATCAATAAATGTATGGCACTCCCTAGACTCGAGAAGAGCAATATTGGATGTGCTCAGGGATCTTAATAAGACTGTATTTAAGGATGAGACTGGCAGAGAAATGTTTTTCCTGTAACACCGGCAGCAACAGAAGTCCAGAGAGACCAGAAAACCCCGTTTTTCTTAGGTCTGTCTTTGAAATTCATTTCCCCCACTTAGTAGGGACCTGTCAATCAAACTCCTAAAGTAAGAAAACAACCATTCTTACTAAAAAACAACAGAGGGGAAAGTTAGGAGTCACTTTGGTGCAAACCAATGTGTTTACGTGCTCCAGGAAAGGGAGAAATGCCTTCTTGCTGCCTTAGGACTTCTTGTGAGAAAGTTAACGTTCTAAGAAGGAATAATTGATACACATTATACAGATGATAGATGCATCTTGTACTTCTGAGCCAATTTTTTGTCACTTAGAGCTGGAATCTACTGAGCCCAGTGCAGCTTCAGCTATGTTCCTGAAAGTTCTTATTTCAAAAGTCACAGGAGAAGAGGCTTCCTTCCAATTCTTTTTTGTGCACAGGAAACATGCTCATATTTCCTTCCTAACTCCCTGCCTCCCAACCCTCCTTTCTTTCCCTTTCTTCTTTGTAAGGGAGTTACAGAGTTTTACAAAGTCTCTGTATTTTAGAGAATCATAGGATATTAAAGTTGGAAGAGATTTTAGCCATCATCCCATCCCATCCCTTCCCTTTATTGAAAAGAAAATTGAGCTCAGATACATTGAAATGTCTCCAGATCCTACACCCAGCTAGTGGTAAAGCCAGAAATGAAGCCCAGGTCCCACCGTGCAGTCTAGTGCTGTGCCCACCACACTGGGGGTTTCCAAAGCTGCCCTACTGTGCCTGTAACTGTGGGTCCCTGTGGAGAACAGATCCCATGTCTTCTTCGGAGATTCCGAATTGGCTGTAATAACCTGCCCTGTGATGCTCAGGACCAGTCATTGTTAGAAACACTTCATGACAACACGTTGCTTTACCCTTTTCCCTCAAAGGTGGGGGGTTCTCTTTCAGCATCTGCAGGGGACAGTGCAGATAGAAGAGAAAGCAGCAGAGGTGGTCAGAGCTTGGCCTGCCCTGCTGCCGGTAGCCCCCTCCACAGGAGAGCACCAGGAATCGGAGGTAACTCCCAGGCACCGGCATGACAGCTCCCGGGATTCACCTTGTGCAAATTTCCTATATTCACTGTCTCTTCAGGGAGCAATCATGTGTTGCCTGTTATTGGGTTAGTTTTCTATTCATGTTTGTATTTCTTGGCCACATTTTTAACTTGTGAGATTATTAAGAAGGGAAAGGATGTCGAATTCACCCTTATCTTTCTCTTAATTTCTAACATTATGCCCTAGTAATTAATTGATTGAAGGCCAGTTGTGATTTCCAGTTTGTAAGACAAACAATAGGACTGTCTTCCCCTCTTCCCCTGTCACAATCACCCAGAAGAAGTAGAAACCACTAGAAGAATCACAAAAAAACCATGCATCCCATTTTTATAGAAATTCATAATGCCTGGAAAATCAATATATGTGATGAAAGTTTGCCAAATACAGGAAAGGTCAAATGGTGGCTAGAAGGTGTGAAGAGAGGATGCCAGTAGCCACAGACTTTGACCTCAGGCCACCCCTGTAACTGCCACAGCCTAACTTGGAGGAATGGGCAGGGGCTTGTGGGAGGAGCTACCCGGATCTCTGTGGCTCTAGGGAGGAGCGGGGCAGGGGGCTGAGCACGGAATCACGTGTGCGTGCTGTGTTCCCAGGAAGCAGCGTATGGGGGCGGCAGGGGGGAGGAAGGTGTGCAAGGTGAGCAGCCTTTCAGATCCTGGCTCTGGGGAATGAAGAGATGTAATGCTAAGGTAACTGGACCACGCATTCAATCCTCTTTCACAAGGAGAATTCCTGCTATTTTGGAACTCACTTCATCGAAAGGTGAGCAGGGAGAGGAGGGCTGGTGGGGAAGGAGAGGGGACAGTACAGAGCCACATCAACAGCACATGAACACTCATCAGGAAAATGAGACACAGAGTACGTGTGACCCAAGACACAGCCTCACACCTGCTGAAAAACAAAGCCAAACCCTAGATCATGAAATGCTTCTGTACAACAAAAGCTCCATGTAGCAAGATAAAAACTTAGGCAAGATGTGTCAGGAAGACAGGAAATAATGAAACTTGAGTGAGCAGAGATCAGAAAACAAGTGGAAAATTACAAGACTATCTTAGAGAGCAAAGCCACATTGAAGACAGGAAAATTGAAAATAGACATTTTATAGAAACCTAATAATGGCCATAAAAAGCATTACTTCAAAAATAAGAAAAATGAAATGGAAATACATGGTGTATCAAAAAGGATTAGAGAGAAAATGGTAGATGATCGGGGATAATGGAAGACAAAGGAAATCCAACATATGAATAATGAGCGCTCCAACCTCCAAAAATCAGGCTCGATGAACTTTTCATAATTCAAGAAGACTTACTGAAATGGCATACCATATTTTAGAAAGAAGTGAAACAACAGAAACAAAAATATATGCAGTAGGACATTCTACATGCAGATAAAGTGAAGGTTCCCATGGCCAGGATCCTCACCTGGCCCTGGGTGGCTAGCTCACTACACATGTGTGGGCAATACATTGCTATTGACTTTATATAAAGAGCTCCGCCCAGTGCTCTGGGTGACATGGTGGCACTGCTGCAAGGCTGCAGGAGAGCAGAGACAAGACTGGAGTGGGGGCAGCACAGAGGACAGAGACTGAGACAGCTGCGCAGGCAGAGAGGCCCAGAGGCAGAGAGGCCCAGAGGCAGAGACTCCAGCTTGCTGTATGCAGACTTGCTCTGAGTGATTGACCTGCCACCGTGGAAATAAAGTTTGGTATAACCCTTTCACCCCAAGAACGTTCTACTGTCATTTCTTAGGTCACAATGAATCCATAGTGAACTTGTCTGGGACTAAAACCCATGGGCAAGACACCCCGTTAATATTACAGGACTTCAAATATCAATGAAGGAGATTGAATGCCTAAATACCAATTTTAAGAACACAGAATGTGGGTGACAAGTTTCTATTGTAGGGTCATTGAAAAACAGTACTTATCTTTTGCACTGTTAAAAAAATGGTAAACTTCTAATGTTACAAAATTTGCCAAATCCTGAGCAAACTAAGAGTTTCAAGTGTCATTAAGTAGTTACTTAACCACTTGCTGCTTAGAAAAGCACAAGCCCATCGCATTTGAAACCTGAAGCTGGGTAGACGGCTGCAGCCAATTGCCAATCACTAATCAGGCCAAGTCCAAACATCTGGAATCCCAAAGGGCCTCCTCAGCAGCTTTACTGAAAAAAAAAATTTTTTTCTAATCATAAGGTTATAAGAAGTATTAAAAAAAAAAACAATAAAATCTATCTGCTTGAAAATTTTTAAGTTTTCTATCTTAAACAACTATTGATAACAGGAGATATAAAAAAGCATAGGCTCTTGAAAATAATGTCAAAAGATATATAGCTACAATATCATAATACTTAATAGTCTACATTATAATATAAATAGAAAATAAAGTATTAAGTTTAAGTATTTAATATTTTACATTATTTAATATGTAAATATATAATTTAATATTATATAGTTAAAATATTTTACTACCTAAAATCAGAGAAGAGGTACTGCATCGAATATTTCTACTAACTACGAATAAAGAATAAAAATAAATGAGATAAGGATTTAAGTCACAGAGTAGAAAAGAAAGAAAAAGTCCAAAACGATTTATCAGCCTGAAAAAAGCTAAAACATATATTAGCAGGGACAAGGCAACAATTACTTTTCACCATATTTCTTTTTGTGCCGTTTAGATGTTGCTCCATTTGCATGTATTATTTTATTTAATACAGTAAATACATGTTTTAAAAGCAAGTGATTTCTTCCAGATTTAAAAGATTATGATTCTGTCTCAAAAATGAAGCCACATGTCAGGAAGCAAAGACTGAAGTAATAAGACTGTGTTCCTAAGGCATTTCATTCTCCCTCTGCCCTTCCAAACGGAGCCAGTCTCTGCGAGGAGGCACGGGGCCCTCTGGGTGTGGGGGCCCCCAGCTCCATCCTCGGCCGCAGCGTGTGGCATGGAGACCGCAGCCTGCGCTTTCGCTAACTCCCACCCTGGGTATGCACGAACTCGCAGTTGTGCTCTGACTTGAAGAGGGTTATGGAAAACATCTTAATCAGAATTCATAGAACAAAGGGCAGAAAATAGGAAACCTAGTCCCAGAGGGCAAGAGGCAATTCTGGAATGAAATCAGTTATAGCCCTTAGGAGCTGGGTGATCCTGAACAACACAGCTTAGTCTTATTATTATTATTTTCCATCTAAAATGTGAGAGAGCGATACCCACTTCTCCTGTAGTTACTGGCACCATGTTAGTCAATGGGTGTAAAATGTCTGGCATGAGGAGTACCTTTAAATTAGAGCTATCGCTAACTCCCACCCTGGGTATGCACGAACTCGCAGTTGTGCTCTGACTTGAAGAGGGTTATGGAAAACATCTTAATCAGAATTCATAGAACAAAGGGCAGAAAATAGGAAACCTAGTCCCAGAGGGCAAGAGGCAATTCTGGAATGAAATCAGTTATAGCCCTTAGGAGCTGGGTGATCCTGAACAACACAGCTTAGTCTTATTATTATTATTTTCCATCTAAAATGTGAGAGAGCGATACCCACTTCTCCTGTAGTTACTGGCACCATGTTAGTCAATGGGTGTAAAATGTCTGGCATGAGGAGTACCTTTAAATTAGAGCTCCTTTCTTTCTTGCTCCCCGAGTCTTTCTCTTCACTGCTTAGCAAAACTCCCCACCTACTGACACCATCAGATCAGCAGACAGGGTGAGGCCAACTTTCACCAGACCTGTGGAACTGGATCATACCCAAAGAGAACGCAATTTAAAAAGCTGAGATCAGCAGTACAAGAATAAATTCTTCCACCTGGCATTCCAGTTTCATTTATTATAAACTGGTGGCTGTATTTGAGACCAAAAAAGCAAAGAAAAAATAATATATACATTCTAAATAAACTTGTTACCTTAGGGCACTCTGGGCTAGGAGATACAGTCAAGGAATATGGGTCAAAGCAACATAATCTTAGTGCCAGAATCAGCACTGCTGCTCTCCCAGCGCCTCGAAGGCTGGTGTTCCCAGGGCTCTGCCTTCAGCCCTCTCCTGTTAGGCTACATACTGCCTGAGGGAATTCACCCAGGTTCAGTTCCCATCACCAATGCGCTGAGGACTTAAAACTTCATCGCCAGTCAGATATGGCTTCTACACTCAAGACCAATGTATACAGTTACCTTTGCCGTCTCCAACTTGACAGTTTGCCTTAGCGTCTTCCGCTGTCACAGAACACCACAGACGGAGTGCCTTATGGACAGCAAACATCTATTTGTCACAGTTCTGGAGCCTGGGAACTCCAAGATCAAGGTGCCTGCAGATTTGGTAACTGGTGAGAACCGGCTTCTTGTCACATGGCAGAGGTGCGGCGGGAGCTCTAGAATGTCTTTTATCAGGACACCAGTCCCATTCATGAAGGCCCCTTCCTTATGCCCTAATCACTTCCCAAAGGCCCTACCTCCAAATACCACTGCACATTGGGGGTTAGATTTCAACATTTGACTTTACGGGGGACACAAACATTGCCTGTAGCACACCCCAAACTCAACATGCCCCTCACTGAACTCAGAACTTTGTGTGGACCTGATTCCTTACATTGCTCCTTTCTGTCTCACCACGTAGCACAGCCTGACCACGGAGAGCTGAGTCAGCCCAGATTCTGCCTTCTCCCTGTATCCTCACATCCAGCACGCATCAGCTCTCCATTTGGCTTCATAGACATCTTTGAAATATGACCCCTTCTGTCCTATATATTAGGAGTCATGTACATTAGTTACCTAACAGTTGTGGTGATACACATCCAATTCGTCCTTCATACCAACACTGCACTGATCAGTTTAGAACTAAAAAGTGATCGAATCACTAGTGGGCTGAAACAGCTTTCTGGGTGTTCTCCTCACCCACAAACTAACATCTAAACTTATTTGAACAGTATATAAACCCTGCCTGTTCTTTACCTTCACCTCCCCATGACCTTGCCACTAATTTTTGTGAATTAATTTGTCAAATGCTACAGACAATTTGATTATTTGTAAAAACAAAAATCTGTTTCTTTGCTTTAATCTTTGCATTTGTCATCCCCTCCCCCTAAAATATGTCCTAGAACTGCTAAAATCCAACTCATGAATTGTCTCTGCTGTGAGCTTTCCCTTCAACTGCCTCCATTACCAACATACAGGCACTACCAGGCCTCTTCTCCTGCTAGAACTTGCTGTAAAGTGCTCGCCACATTGTTGCAACTCTTACAAGTAGTGTTATTTCCCATTATGATCAATTTAAGAGAAAGAATCTGTGTTCCCAGCTCCCAGTACCGTGATTCCCCATATCTGGAACCTCATAAGCTCTGTTGGATTAAGGAAGATCTTTGCTTTCTTGCTGGATTTGGTGATTAATCCACATACTCCCAGCTAACTGGTACTGTCTCCTTCCAAATGTCATGGTAACTGTAAGTGTTGCCTACATTTACATCCTAGAAGACGTGCATATAGGACCTTACAACATGGATATCAAGACTAAGATGCATAAAACTGAATTTACCACCTTTCAACCAATCCAGCTTCCTTTCCCATCATTTTCTTTTGTTAGTAGCATTCCCAACTGGGAGACTTACTATTTGGGATCCATCATACTCATCCTTCTGAAGATCCCTTCCTTAACATTTATTTTTCCATAACATTTCATACATTCTCTTTTTATCTAGTTCCAGTGCCACCCCTATTTGCTTCTTTAGTTCAATTGTTTTCAAAGTGATCTCTTTGCCTGACGTCTCTACTATGTGATCGAGCCGGACAAAATAGATTGAAATGTCTCTCTCATCAAGTCACTCCTTAATTCTGAACTTAAACATTTCCATATATATCTGTCACTAAAAATATCTCGTCTTTTATAACTCACCCCCAAATTTATCAGTCCAACCCTGTCTAATGTAACTCCTTACACTAAAGCATTTGTTTGTGCGTCAGTCTCATTCCTCCCATGCCTGTGATCACGTGCTTCACACCAAAATAGCCCACTGCTTCTTTTATTGTTCATACAAATCCTACTCATTCTTCAAGGATGAACTCAAATTCTACATTTCCCATGAAGACTGTCTAAATACTTCATGTGGCATCGATGGTGACCTCATAAGGATTCTTGTATCACACACCTTTCACACACATACCGCATTTCATCTCTTCCTAAGTATGGCTCATGTCTCAGTCCATTCAGGCCGCTGTTGCAAAATAGCACATAGATTGAGTAGCTGGAAAACAAGGCAAACTTATTTCTCACAGTTCTGGAGGCTGGAAGTCCAGGCTCAGGGTCAGCAGAGATGAGTGAGGGCCCCCTTCTAGCCGCAGCCTCCTCGCTGTGGCCTCCTGTGGTGAGAGGGAAGGGCTGAGGGTCTCTGTGGAGGTACCAGTCCCCTTCGGGGGGCTCCACCTCATGACTTCAGCACCTCCTAAAATTCGCACTACTAATCCCAACACCTTTGGGGGTGAAGACTTCAGCAAATGAATTCTCGGGGGGGTCCATGACAATTCTGGGGTTCATCTTAGGACTCAGTGAATACAGTGTAAGGGTGTGCGTGAGTGGAAAGAGTAATAAATATTCCACTGATTAGAAAAATAAATAAAAGCAGCAGCTGTAGTTGTGTTTATTGCTCTGGCCTCTACCATACTCTCTTAAACCTGGAGCTTCCCTGGGAAAATCAGAGCCTCAGGAGTAATCAACACTCAGCGAGTTGGGAAATTACTCCCCAGTAGGTGGCTAACAGAGCCTTAGAAGCCTTAGTTGAAATGGGTATTGTGCATAAATGGTTAATTTGTGCAGACTGAGCTTCCTATGATTTCCGATTTGCTCTGACATACTTGGGGAAGGATTGGGGGCCCCATCTTCACCGTCAACACACATAAATCATTTTGTGTTGAGAGATGTTTCATTTGAAGGGGAAGGCATGCACTTGTTTCCAGATAGGAAACTTTCCTATCTGGTCATGAAACTTGGGAAGACACATTTATGGCTATTCAGTAGCCATGGTGTCTTGTTTAGGTGGTAAGATATCCAGTCCAGGGGGGTATCCAGTTCCATGGGAAACTAAGACAAGGCCATAAATCAAATGGACTTGGGTGGCAAGGGTCAGGCTATATATCAAAAGGAGATGGAGTTCACTTAGGACAATATGTTGGCATCGCCTAACACACGGACCAGGAAGCACTGCCCTTCATGAGCTTCCATGTGTGACCCCGGTCAGATCTTCTGTACACCGACTGCTTTCCAGATTTCTGGACGGTCTCTTGGGAATATTTCTGACCAAGATTCTCTAAGTTCTGCAGGTCTGCTTGATGGTAAACATAACCTTGACCCTGAGATACTAATGTGAGTCTTATATTTCTAGGACTTTTATCTACTTGACATTGTCAAGAGGCCTGAAAGATACACTTATAATTTGGCAATAAATAGTTTCTTCAAATCTAGATGTCAATGATGGGATGAAATAAAAATCAATGTAGGCTAAACAATTTTTATTTCAACTTTCATTGAATATTCTTTAATTTTTTTCTTAATCATATGATTTTGATATTTTGAAATGACATGGAAAAGAAAAAATAGACAGTGCAATGCTCAGGAATATAAACCCTGGGTTAAAATCTAAGATGTACCAGGTACCAGCTCGTGATCTTGGACAAATCACTTAATGATTTGTACTATGTTTCTTCACCTGTGCAGGAGGGAGGATATTAGTACTCACCTCTGAAAGCTGTGTCATGTTGAGTAAGGAGGGTGACACACATGAGATAACACCCAGGACAGCGTTGGTTGGGTGCCACCATCATATTCTTATTATAGATCTGTTACTACCTTCTAACCTACCCTGGCATTGAAGGTCTCATATATACAAGGAAGATCATGTTTAGAAAATAATTCTTCTGACCACCTTTAATAACTCTGCTGAGTAGCTTTCACTTCTACAAGCTTTTTTATTTAATATCTGAATCACTGGGTGCACAGAGTAATGAGCCGCTGTGATCAGCTGGCCCATCTTCAAACTCCACGTCTGCCATTTAACTCTGTGACTGAACTTTCCTTAGCCTTACTGTCTCTTTCTCTTAACCACCTCATAGAGTTTTTTTTTAAATTGTAACTAATTGTGATAATGTACATTAAGGAGCTCAATGATAACATTTAATAAGCCCTCAAAGGTGAAACTAAAAGCTGGGGAAGGTCTGGAGGTTGGAATCGTGGGTTCCCTGATGGACCAGGAGGAGGAACGCAGGGGCTTCTAAGCCTGGTGTTTTTTTCTTGGTGTACCTTCATCTGTGTGTCAGTTATGTGAGTGCATGTAGTCGTAAAGATTCACTTACATTTTATAAAAATTTGCTGAATCACTTAAAATTTGTGTGATTTACTTTATAAATGTTATCTTTCAGTAAAAGAGCCCAAAAAGTAAACAAATAAAATATCTGAAAAAAAAATCATACAGGGCTTACAGTATTTTATAATGAATAAATATTTTCACAGTTCTCATTCTACAGAATATGGACTACTCTTAGATCAGGAGCTTAAACTATATCAAAATAACCCAGAGTAAAGAGGAGTATTGGTAATCATTTTAAGTTAGTATCAACAGCCAAACCATATAAGGAAGGGATAAGATTTGGAAGACTGGTTCATCATAGATCAGGTATGGTGCCCTGATCAGTATCAGAGATACATCCCTGCGTTTTGAAAGTTTGCGCTATGCCATTTTGCTTTTATGTGACATTAGAACAGATCTTCATTGACTTAATGGTGGGGTACATCCTAATAAATCCATCTGTGGATAAAATGAAGGTTCCTGTGGCCAGGATTCTCATCTGGCCCTGGTTGGCTGGCTCACTACACAGATGTGGGCAAGACGTTGGTATTGACTCTTTGTAAAGAGCTCTGCCCAGTGGTCTGGGAGACATGGTGGCACGGCTGCAAGGCTGCAGGAGAGCAGAGCAGAGGCTGGAGTGGTGGCAGTGCCGAGGACAGAGGCCCAGAGGACAGCTGTGCAGGCAGAGAGTCCCAGAGGCACAGACCGGCTTGCTGCCTGCTGATTCACTATGAATGGACAAAATTTTAGTGACTGACCTGCCACCATGGGGATAAAGTTGGGTATAACCCTTTCACCTCAAGAACGTTTTACTGTCATTGCTCTGGTCACACTGAAACCACAGTGAACTTGCCCGGGGCTGAAACCCATTGGCAAGACACCGTCACAAATTGAAAATATTGCAAGTTGAAAATGTATATAATACACCTCATCTAGGAACATAACTGGGAACCAGTCTTCCCTGTAGAACCAGGAAAGAATATACCTGCGTTATTTTTCTGCTGTACACGGTGATGTGACAAATGACGGCCACCCTCGGGAAAGAATGCTCTGAGAGGCACTGAGTGGAGCTCCCAGCAGGCGCTCTGCCCGCAGCTGGGGAGCCGGCACCTGGTTGCGAAAGGCAGCCCCTGAGCGGGGCACCCCAGCAGCCGCCAGGAGACAGCTGCAGGTGTCCTTGAGGAGGGCTCCTCCTTTACAATGCAGGTTCTGACCTTTGTTAAATCTTCATCAGCATCTACCTTTCATTCCACTTTTAGGGAACACCTGCTGTTTATTGCCAGGGCGACTGCTAGGCTCTGGGCGTGGCCGCGAGGACTGGAGCCCCCAAGCAGCTCGGAGGACAGACCTCTAACTGCTGAAAAGGCTCTAGTGCTTTGGTGGGGACAGACACAAGGAGCACCTCACAGCCTGGGGTCAGTGAAAGGAAAGGGCGACCTTTGATTGTGTCCCAAAAGAGAGCTGGCTGGGCAAAGAGTGAAAAGCCTGGGAAAGCAGACAGTGGGTGCAGGCAGCAGGGCTGGGCGGGAACATCACAGCCTCGAGTGAGGAGGGAAGCGGCAGAACGCCGCGGGCCCCCGGGGGCTGGGCTTCTCCAGGTGTGGTCACGTCCCAGCCGCCCGCAGGTGGGCTCGCCCAGGTGAGCGCCGTGGGACCTGTCTGGGCTTGTCGTGCTGGGGGGCGTCTGTGTCCCCACCGGCCTGTGCTGGGAGTCTCTTGTGCACAAAGCTGATACCTGCTCTAATATTCTGTTAGAAAAATACAACCATCCCACGTTTCATTTTTTTAAATAAGGAAATGAATTCAAACTCTTCCTATTGGTAATTACTATATTGAGAGGTGAGTAAATTTATTACAAAGCAAGTCTAATTTTTAAATCTTCTTTATCATGGATATGCTATTACACATACAGGCATGCATGGACACTATGCACATACATATGTGTACGGTACATGATAAAATCCTTTAATATTAGCCTGTCCCTGTGTCTGTCTAGGGGTACTGATTAGTTTTAGCAATGGGCAGATGAAATATGGTGAAAATGGTCTTTCTTTTCCAGTAGCATTATTGTAAGATGTCTTAGCACAATAGTCTAAATTGTGTAGACACAAGCAGGATTTGTCTGTCTCTGCATTCCAAGCCCAGGGCCATCTGTGTGGACAACAGCTGGACGTAAAGACAATCAAGTGGTGCTGACGACCTAAAAGGATTAGCAGCAGTAAAGGCCGCCCCTGGATGGACCACCATCCTCCAAGCCGGACACCCCTCAGCCCATCTCGCTCCTGCCTCTGAAGGTAATTGCGGCATCTGTTTCTTGAAGCCACTGAAACCAGCGCAGGGCCAGCCCTACTCTGGGACCAGCAGGCCCCTTGGCAGGGGGAAGGGAAGGGCTGGGAGCTGAGCCAGCCCAGGGCCGGTAGGTCAGAAGTGAGGGCCCGACAGCTGCTTTTCCAGGGGCCTCCCCAGGCTGGCCTCCCTCCTTGCTGGTCTGCAAGCTGCCCAGCAGGGCCTGCTGTGTGCCTTTCATGCGGTGGGAACTCTGGCCTTAAAAACAAATGGACTGGCTGAACGGCTGTGGGAGTGTTAAAATTCTAATTAGTTTGCATGTTTTTGTTTTTCACACTGTGATCACTCTAGTTTATTTTGTTTAATTGACTACATTCAGGTAAAAGGCATGAACAAAAATCCACATGCCTTTTACCACTGGGCATTCTTTTTTTCTATTTTATAGTGACCCTGGCAACCATCTCAGATCTTGGGTGTAGACTGGCAGTTTTCTGGAACATGTGGAGATTGATACCTGTGGGAACTGACTCCGTATGCTCACAGCTTTCACATACGGAGGGGCCATCAGAGCCTGACCAGGCCAGGCACTCCGCTTCCTTCCTGCACTGGGAGCCAGTTCAGTAATGAGCGTGGCTTTGAAGAGAAAGAATTACAGTGAAGCAACCGGAGTGGTCAGTGATCACTCATTTTCGCCTTCTCAAAAAATCAAAAGTGATGTGAAGAACAGAACGTGTAAGTAAGGAGAACAGTTTTTCAGGTTTGCTTCTGTGTCTGTCTCCCCCAGTTGGACACTGGGAAGATGTTTGTGGATGAGGCTCGAAAAAACTCCAGGGTTTGTAGGTCACTGTGGACTCTACTCCACATCACATTGGTTCCATGCATGAATGGTGCAAACCTCTCCTTACCTTGAAAGTATTTAGGGCTAAGCTTCATCCAGCAATGCGATGGGTGGGTCTGCCTGAGCACTGGAGAGAAAGTGCGCCTGCATTTCCAGCGGGCCACCACGCTGCCACTTCCTGTTCCCAACCAGCTGGACCCTCAGTGCCTGGTGTAGAGTGTCCACCTTTTGTTTACCCAACATTATCTATATAAAGACAAAAAAGGAGGAAAATAACAGGAAAGCTTTCAGAGAAGCGCAAAATTGGCTCTGACAAACTGGAAGGAAGCTGCAGGCAGGGTGTCTGAGGAAATCTGCACAAGGATGATCTATTTTAGTATTAAGAACTGAGACTCGGCATCACAATAGGTGAAAATAATATCCACGGTCCGAGAAACCCACATGATCCCAATGGGAACCTCCAAGACAACCGTTCAGAATTTGTTTTTTTTAACTACAGCATCAAGTCCAAAACAAATTTAGCAGCTTGGTGCCGGCTAACAGAAAAGTATGCTGAGAAGGTTTTCAGTGGGGAAATCTCTCAAGGAGAGCCCCAGGAAGCAGTGCTGGGAGGGGAGCATGACAGAGTTTACCCCAAGGAAAGGCTAATACCTGAGCAACATCAGGAGGAGCCCAGAGTGCCCAGCGCGAAGGCAGCTTCCCGTTTACAGGACCTGCTGCCAACAAATTATAACCACACTCACTATATGGCAAGCAATGGGGGATAGAGTAAATAAGCTATAACATAAGCTGTGAAAGAATGTTGAAATCAAAATATTCTTGTTATAGTACATAAAAACAAATTATATAACAAAATCCTATTTCCAAAATACTGGCATTGATAGATTAATATACAGCAATGCAAAGATATATGTGCACAGAAGAGGAACTGAAATAGATAAACCAAAACGTTAACGGAAATTATCAGTGGATGAGGGGATTAGGGATGACTGTTATTTTCTTCTTTGCATTTTTCTGTTTTTTTTTTAATTTTCTTAACTGAATATATACCAAATATTATTTCTTAAATTTCTATTTTGTTCTATCAAAATATGAAGTTGCTATTGCTATTACTTTTAGAAAGGCTTTCTTTACTAATGCCAAAATTTTTACCTTCTAGTGTTTAAATGAACATTAGTGTACATAATTACTGTTATGTATTAATAAGCAATTGATAATAAATTATCTAATTAAATTATTTTCCACATTAAGGATTCTTTTAATATCTTTATGACTCAATCTGAAAAATATTTATTAAGTAGGTATTGCTTTCATTGAAGTTTAACAGAGAATTAGAATCAAATATTATTAAACTATTTACAATGTTAATATTATAGAGTTACAATGTTAAATTATCTACAGTTTCATATTTATGTTGAAGTGAGCAAATATCTCAACATGCACATATATACACACACAACCAAAATTCTGAAGGTTTCAATCCTTTTTGAAAGTTTATATTCAAAGTTATGGGTTTTGAAACTATCATAAAAGTAACATGCATTGGCAATAAATGAGTTTATTATTATATTAACAATTATTCACCCTGAAAAGCTAAAGCATTTTTTTCAAGTGTAATTTAATCATACCTGGCACCTTGTTACCTTACCTGGATAAATATTATGCATAAAAATATAAACCCAAGTGGCATGTATCTGAAGTACAGCACCGTAAAGTCACTCGACAGGTTGTATGAAGAAACTAGATTTTCCAAATGAGTTTCATTCAACAATCATAGCATATACCACAACACCAACGCAGCTAAACACAAACAAAAGGACCCTCTCTCTGGCATTCACATTCAGTTATACTTTCTTCAAATATTTACTTGTTTCCATTTGCCAAGATACTGTTTTTTTGGGGGAAAAAAAGTACTTTGTGAAAGGCAGCTACAGAGAAAAAGATGAAATCTTTTGTTTGGCCTGTCTATGTTCTTTTATTTGGCCTATCTGTTAATATCCTAATATCCTAAGGCTTTTACCAATTTTGGTCTAATTATACATGCAATATGACCTCAAATGAGAAAATTCTACTTGAGCACAGAAGTACTTATATTTCTCATATTCTACTTAACTTTGCTGGTTTCTACTTATCCCGCTATTACTCCACCTCGACTTCCTCCTATTTTTCATCCTGACACACACACAAATGATTGCTACTATCCTTTCTAGGAGGTGACTTCTAGTTACATTTCTCTTCAGTTAATAGCTTGGCGTAGGCAGGCATGGGCCCATAAAAATACAATCTTTAATCTTAAGGACTTCCTGTCCAGAAAGGCGTCAGAGCAGACCAAATGGCACCAAGCGGACCGCGTGACCCGCAGTGGCTCCCCGTGGGGGTAAACAGCCCTGATGCAGAGTCAGCCTCTGTGAGGGCTACTCCCAGCGTGTCTGCATCAGGGATAGTCATCTTGCCTGTGCTGAAATTTCAGTTTGTTTCCCCAGGAATAAAATGAAGCTGGCTCAGAGGGTGAAGGTGGGGAGTGGTGGATTTCCTTCCCTGGGTTCTAGAAATACCACAAGCCTGTTGTGGGCCTTCCCCTGCTATGTCAGACCCACCAAAAGGGTGGGGAGCTGCTTTACTCAGACCCAGATGTTAGTTTTTCTCGTAGCTGCAGGGTCCTGGTGCATTTGCCTACTTGCTACCCCCTAGGGGTCTTTATGCTCTTACAACGTCCCTCCGTGCCACAACTAAAACAGCTCAGCCGCGGCCACCTGCTTGCGGATCCTGTACTTTAGCATGTATTTTGAAACTGTGCCAACCTATGACTCCCCACCTCCCTGTAGGATCTCACTCTGGACTCTCTCCTTGGCCGGTGAGAAACAGATACTCCTCTGAAAACAAAATGGGCTGTAAATTGAGAGAAGTTAAGAATCAGCATCAGTTTCTCATAAATCTAATTTCCAATTTGCCACCAGTCTGGGTTCTACACACAGACTCTAATGCATACTCCCCCGTGGGAAATGCTTTCTCTTGTTCATAGACCAACCTTGACTTAGCTGGTTTTTCTCCTTGGTGGAAAGAATAATGTAATTCAGGAGAGCAATTGTAGAACAAAGTTATTAGAAATGGGTAGATTTATTTTGATTTCCTTTTTATCCTGGCTGGGTGTAGGGGGGGACATATACTCATCTACAGCAGATGCATATGAATATTCTTCCATACTAACATGCAGTTGCCTGGATTAAGCCTGCATTTCTACCGATCCACAGCAAAACATAGTAAAAGCATCTAAAAGGAGGTATGATAATATAAAACAATCATTCATGAGAGATAACCTGAGAATATTTTACTCATTTTGATACAACAGGGAAATACACAGTAAGATTTCATAGATACTAATACAAACACGATACAAATCCTAGAGTGAATACAGGACAAACTGTAACTGAAAACAGCCCTTACAGAATCTGTCATCGCCGAAAGATGATTCGGCATGAATCCTTTATTTTAGACTGCTTGGACTCAAAATTCCTTTATTGAACATTTTACTTATCATAAGTAGTATATGTTACTCCTATTCTGTTAAAATCCTTTTCTTATATTTGTGACAAAAAGTTAAAACATGATGCTAAAATCTAAGAAATGTAACTATCTTCTTTTAAAATTGCTATCCCTTTAATATAGCCATCATCCCATTTTTTTCAGATCATATGGTATGATTAATATTTCTTAAACACTTATGAGGAGATGTCATCCTTTAGATCTACGGGCATGGTAAGCTTTCTTCAACATCTCTACTAACACAGCTCAAGTAGAGTGCCATGGTGCCCTATAACATTTAATGATGCACAGGTTAGAGATCTGATCATAAAATTTTTGACAATGACTTTAATGATCATAGAAACCTGTAGTTGGAAAATAGAAGATATAAAGGGGTTTATCTGCTAACCTTTATCTTTAAAATAAATAAAATCTTGCTAATGTGAAAATGTCATGGAATAAAAAAAATAATCCCCCTTGAAGATTGGTTTCTGTGTTCAGTATTAATAATAATAAAGGAAGTTTAAAACTTAAAAAAAAAAAAGTAGTGAGAATAGCCGGACCATGCAGAGCCCTGGGTCCCCGTCCTGCCCGGGACAGCTCGGGTGCAAACACTTCCCCCTGGGAATCTCCTGTGGGCTGTACCAGGCCATGCCAGACCCCAGGGCGACCCCAAGTCGCACACCCGGCACCCTCCTCCCACTTTCCACCCACACACTCGGCCGGTCCTCCCCTAAGCCCCACAAGGCAGGTTCTGTTGGAAGAAAAACAGGCCCAGAGAGGCACAGCTCTGATAGAAACCCAGGCGTTCTGGGGCTCTCGCTCCCCTTGAAAGAGAAGAAAAGGCATCTTTGGAAAGAAAGGGCCACGAGGCTGTTCAGATCAGAGGGGCTCAGGCTGCCACCGCTCTCGCCCTCGGCTCCCCTCCCAGCGGTCCGCATCTGGGTTTGGGCTCCCCGTGTCATCCAGAGGCCGGGGGAGCAGATGGAGGCCTTCAGGGGCAGCGCGAAGGTTGAGGGACCAGATTCACCATCTTATGCTGCACCTCCAAGTTTCAGAAACTGGATTTAAAAATGAAAGTGTATAGAAAGCCCAGAGTGATTATACTTACAATAGCTGATTCACACTTTCAAGACTGACAGGGAAATGGTTCCATACACCGGAGAAGCACTGTGGTCACCTACGAAGGGGCCATTCAGTTTCTTTGCTTCTGCAGGGGGAGTCACAATCTTCTAAAGATTTAAACAAAGGATATTTTTTAAAAATAGTAACGATGAGACTCATACTTTATGAGAATTAGTAAGCAGACGGTAACAGTCGCAGAGGTGAGCACAGCAGGGTAGGTTTCTCCATGGGAAAGCCCAGAGGAAAATCTCAAAACACCCGATGTTCCCCAGGCTTGCTTCAGCCAGCTTTCTTAAAGGAACAAAGTCATTGATTTGAAGAAAGGCCTACTGTGGCCTACCAGGTTTTTTCATGGACTGTAGAATCAGTATCTTCTTATTTTCATCAATCCGTGTTTCTTTTCTAAGATTTAGAAATAGTGGCACAGACATTCATTCTTTTCCCAAAAATCTTTTTGTATAAAACCTTTGCTTTCCTAAGCTTGGATTATTTCATTTGTTTGAGCTGCTTGTACACAATTGGGATAATTGTTTGAAGAGTTAAGATGCATTGTTTTATATATTTAGCTGTATCTCTTTCTAAAATAGGCACGGTGCTTCTGAGATATCTAGGGAGTAACTGCCTTTCTTTCTGTGTCACGTTTGTGGCTCTCCAAACTAACAAAATGACCTGCCCTGAGTGACAAAGGGCCCAGTGACTTTTTCAAAAGAGAGTGGACTCCAGCCTCTGTTCCTGTCCAGTGACTTTAACCTGCCATCATCCTGTCATGATGATAAATTGCATGTACAATCCATGGTTGGAGCAGATGGGAGAGTGCAGAATCTAAATCTGTTTCCCAAACAGAAAGGGAATTATTTACCTCTCAATGAAACATAGATTTCTCATAAAGAAAATTTTGGATATTCCAGTTTTAGTAGCTGACACAGTTATGCAGTTAGAGATACCTAGACCATATTAAAACCAAGGATGGTTCTAAATAAAGTTAAATAGAAGGCACACACTCATTTCTTCACCAAGTTCATTGAACTCCTGCTAGCTTCTAGGAATGGAAAGATTTACCAGAAAATATGTTGTAAAAGTAAATAATATTTTTATTCCCATTAAATGTTTGTGGGCAAATAAACCTTATGGTAGTCACATACCAGATACATATGCCAGATATATAGAGAGATTGCTTTAAGATGCTCTTCATGATGGCAAGAAGGAGATGGGACACGTTTGGCTTTGAAAACACTTGGGTCTTCAAAAATTCAGATTTTAAAAGGTAATCCCACAGATGGAGAAAAATAATGTAAAAGCGAAAATGAATTCAGTTTAGAGTTTCATTTCAGTTACAGTCAAACAAAATCAGGAGACCTCAGGTCCATATTTACTGTTATTCATTCATTCTTAATCCAGCAACTATTACATTGAGCTCTCATATGTGACAAGGTTGAAACTTCTGGAAAATCATCATTAATATATTATTGACCCCAGAAGTCATTTAACTTCCAGAATTACCCCCAGAGCATCCAGTGGACCTTTGGTAAAGCTAACTGGCATTATTCAGCTTGATTAACTAGACAGCCCCCAAAAAACTATTCATTAAAAAAAGGCAAATTCTATGTGTCATCCCGCTATATGCTGGAAACTTGTCATTCATCGTCATTTAATCATACAACAATTCTGAAAAGTTGCAGGTATCACCGCCCTACTTTACAGTTAAGAAGCTTGAGTCTTAAAGCAGGAGACTCCACCCCGTGCCTCACGGATACAGAGGCAGAGCTGGGACTGGAACTTGGTCGCCTACTCCTTCCGCTGCACCACACCGTCTTCGAGGAGAAGACACACAGCTCTCCCCCGAGGCAGGAACAGCATCCAGACCTCCGGATTCGTGAAGAAGGCACACTGCTCCACTGTAATGTTGGTACTGATTTTTCTCTAATGAGTTACAGTTTAAGCACTTTGTTTTCAGAATTCTGATGGGCCAGCATCTGCCGAAACTTACCAGAGACACCCAGTGTTTGAAGGGGCAGTCTAAGGGGCATCTGATTTACCCTTTCCTCCAGATTTTCTAAGCCATATTCTTGAATAATGATCCCATCAAACCCAAACAAGTAGATTATCTTCTCTTCACTCTCTTAAAAGAAATTCATTACATAGGTTGAAATTTAATGTAATATCCTGGGGCTTGAAAGGATGGCTTTCATTAGAAGAATTCACTCATTCAACACATCTTGACTGACTGCTTCCTTATGTCAGCCCTGTGTCTGAAATGCAGTGCTGAGCAAAAGTAGATCTGGCCTCCATTCTCATTGAACTCACACTCATTCAGTGGAAGATGCAGATTATAATCACATGTGACTTACAATTCTGCTAAATACTTGGAAGGAGAGAGAACTGACGCTCTATGGGTGGGTCATAATGAGGTTTGACCTGGGCATGAAATCCCATGAAAAACCATGGTCAAAAATGATCCTGCAGAATATAAACCGTCTTTTTTTGCTAGATTTCATATGTGAGGCATTATTCATAGAAATAAGTCGATTAAAATATGTATCACTACTTGTTTGTGTTTTTTTATGTTTTGTTCTGTTTTATTGGCCTTTCATCTGGCAAAGACCAAATCTGATCTTATTTAGTACAATCTGATCCTTTCTTAAAACTTCTTTTCTAGAGATTCAAAGTTAAATTTACTGTGCAGCATAAAGATATGATTCATTTCTTTCTTTGTTACTTTAATTTTGTTCTCTTTGTGGTCTAATTGCTCTGTTTTAGATATACTTTAACACTGAATACGCCTCAAACATTTTTTTTTTGGTAAATTGGTAAGTATAAGTAAAAATACATGATTAATAAGTAGCTCATTTTTAATTGTCATCTGATTTGTAGCTGATTTAAACTTTTTTTTCACTGCAACCCTGGTTGAACCACAACTAGCTTCTGAAAATTCCTTTGGATTTTTTAGAAGATTTCAAAGGAGCATTAATGGCTGGATCTGTAACAAACCCCAGGACAGTAAATATTTTGGAATTATCAAGACTAAAGGTCTTAAATAGACTCTGAAGAAAAAGGAAAAATTCAACTGCTTACCTTTCACTCTTCAACTTTTATTCCTTCTATACAAGTCACAGAATGTGGGATAAAAATGCCTATCTAAGTAACCACAGTCCACCTCACCCTAGAAGAGTGAGCTCTGCTCACAGCAAACCGGTTGCTCAGGTACACCCTGCCCACCCAGACTTAGGCCGTGAGAAGTGAGGGGACCAAGCCACCAGATAACCTGTGAGTCTGGGGAGGCTCTGCTCTTGGTGTCAGGCCAGGGCAATATCACATCTTCCCTGTCCCCGCGAGCAGCCTCACTGAGAGCCAGCTCAGGGGCATGCGTGTGTGTGCACGTGCATATGTACAAACACACACACACACACACATACACACACAGTCTTTACGTGGCTCAGCCCTACAGAGGTATTCTCTTAGTGGGGTCTTAGTACCCCAGCATTACACATGTTGTTTGAGAGTCACATGAGTCGCACCCGGCCAAGCAGGAGATTTGGAGCCTGTCTGCCTCACCACCTGGCTACCTTTGTACAAAGTGAATTTTTTATTTAACACACTCAAAACCCTTTCATTTGCTTCCCATTGGTTTATTTTTTATACCTCAGCCTTAAAAGTTCTGATGTTCTTCCAGAGTGACTTTTTGCTGACTTGGTGAGATATGCTGATTAAAGAAAAAATCCTTTTCTTTACATAATAAAAATACTTAAGAACATTTACTATATTTGGAAGATACTCTCTTTCAAAAACTCAATATCAAATCCACAAAACTACAAGTGCATTTTTTTAACTAAAAAATTCAAGGTATGTCCAAAAAAGTTCAAAATCTTAGGATAAGGTCAAGAGAGTTTGGGTAGCTGCAGCCTGTCTAATTTCCCTTCTACCTTCTTAAAATTACATTTTGGTCATTGAATTAAAGCACTGAGAATATGTTTCAGTTAATCTAGGGGAGCATGAACAATACTGTGCCAGTGAGTGATTCAGACTCAACTATGATTTGAATGTTTACACAGAATTGTAATGGAAACATTTTAATTAAGCAAGCTGCTTCTATTCTAACCAATCTTTGTTATGGCACAAAGCAGATGGCTGCCCTTAAATTCCTTTGTTTGTGTTGGATATATGTGGGGGTCATTTGGAGAACTGAACTCGTCACAATAATATACCTAGTGACATTGATGACTTCCTCAAGTAGTCTTTTTTTGTGTTATCCTCTATTGTACATACCTATATCTTTGCTGTGGAAGGTCACAAGTGCAGAGTAAAATACTTCTGTTCATTTGTTTACTAAACATTAGAAAGATGAAGTGAAGCCAAATTATGTTCAGATTGGGAGTAATTGGGAAGAAGCGATGTCTTCATTGGTCCAACCTTAGTTCAACTTTTCAAACAAACCAAGAAGCCAACCCACCCTAGTTCTCGTCTGAGTACTCTGCAGCCATCCATCTCCCGGACGTTAGGGGACCACAGAGGCATGGAAGTCACCAAGCCAGGGAACTTTCTGGAGAAAGTAGGCATAGTCCCTTGTACATTGCCTAAATTTACCTCTTTTCTTTTAGGCCATGCGCTTTTATTCCCTTCAAATGTCACCTTTGCTTCCAAAAGTAGCTACCTTTTATAATTGCTTACATAGTTTTAAGGATACAAGAGATATGGTCACTGTGATTTAAGAGGTTTTGCCCTCCCCCCCCAAACCCTCCCAGTTTCCAGCCACATCAGTCTCCCAGGCTGAATCCATGGTGACTTGAAACCAAATTAAAGATTTCTAAGGTCCACCAATCAAGGCTCAGCTCCAGTGCTGAGATAAAATTTCAGTGAAAGTGCCCCCAGGAAAACATCTCTTCGGTGTTTAATTTCTCTGTAATGAAGGTGTGTGATGCCTGAGATTTTTCTGCTCGTGAGTTGCTCTCTGGAGGATCTGGGTTTCTCATGTTTCAGGAAAGTCAAGCTAATTTGATGAACTAGTTTCTTTCTCAACTACCCAGCCTTTATTAATATGATTCCAGCATCACACTGCCTAGCATCAGAATGTCACTGGTAAGTGACATTCAAGAAATGAAATAAGAGCTCCAGGCAAAGGTTGTACTAGAAGCACAGTGGAGTCACTCACCCACAGATCAGCTAGAGGAAAAGAAGGGCACCAAGGAATGATAAGACACGAACAATGCTGGGAAAGGATGGAGAAAGGGCGCCCAGGAGAGAATGCAGGAGCCTCGGGGCACCCAAAGCTGCTCGTGTTTGTCTCCAGTGTGAGGAGTCCCATCAAGCCAATCTAAGAATGTGAAATCCATCCCTGAGAAATGAAAATCAATACATTTGGAAAAGAATAATACTAAAAGTCAACAAGGAAAATAAATTCAGCTGTGGTGAGAAAAAAGTAAAGGTGCTAGTGAGTAACAAACAGCATAGAAGGAAGCATAGTGATGAAATGGCCGTAAGGAAAGGGCTGGATGGTGACCATCTCAACCACGATCACACACCACCAACAGGTGACAGTTCCTGTTCTCAGGGATGGTGACTGAATATCAAAGAAACGTCAAGGAAGCGGATGGGTGATCTGTTTTGGAATATTCTTCCCAGTATGATACTTTAAATACCTATTTCTCAGACTTCCTCACTTTAAAAAATTTCTAGCCTCTGTTGTTTAAATGCATGCTTTGGTGCTAAAGCTTCTCCATTGTGACAGTACAAATATTTTTTTAAATACCAAACCTTTCCTAAATGAGATTTTCAAGGTGATGTTGACCATTCCGGTTTGGCAAATCCTCCTTTGAAATTCACTGTTCTCAAATCAAGTACGGCTCGGATCAAGAAGCGCCATCTCCGGAATTGAAAACTGTTGCATTTCTGTGAAAATCTGAAGAGCAAATGAAGATACGTGTAAATTGGGGAAAGGTGGTTTTTACCCAAGGATGTTTTCTAGTTTATTGCGAGTGGCTAATAAACACCTGTCTTGAAGTTCACATACAGAGACCTAAGAAAAATGTTAGGCTAAGATTAAGCACCATGAATCTTGTTCACCAGTAACATTAAAATAAAATGGCATATATCCTGGCAGTATCTAGTATTTGTTTTTGCTATATAAAGGTAACCAAAAAGATATTGGTCCAGGAAGACCATTGGATGCACCAAGTGGGCAGAGGGAAAGCCTCTGTGTTGAGAACACTGGAAGAATGAAATGGCCAATACGAGAGGCTCCCTTTTATTTTTCAGTAAGTTAGTGTTTATGCGCACAGTGCCGAAGTAGGTATGAATCCAATTCACCATGTGTCACAAGACTGGACAACCACGGGTCTGCAGAAGGATCATGGGGGCATCTGAGGGACAGCTGTGAAGTGACATACTGTGGTTTTCACCAGAAAAAAAAAAAAAGGTTTTTTAAAAAAGACAACCTACAAGAAGTGGAATAAGAAGAAAGCATCCTCTAGTATAGAAACCCTGTTCGCAGAAAATGAACTAGAAATGGAGGTACTTCTACAGACTCTTCAAACCTAAAAAACTACATTTTGATGGGAAATATTCCAGTCAGGGGCCTTTGTGGGTAGTACAGTGCCCACATACCTCTTAATTTTCTATTTCTGTTGGAAATCTATCAGCTCTCTCATTTCTTATGTCAACTTTATAGTGCTCCTTGGGAATGGCATTTAAAAGAAGAAATAACAAATTGGCATATGGAATTTCTGGTGAAAACCAGTTATTGTCTTTAAAAATGTGAAAATTTTATGCTGGTGGAGGAATGAGAAAGACCTTAGAAGAAGCTGGGAATCCCTGGGGATTTTGGAAGTTGGAAGGAATGATGTAGAAATAAACTTGTGGCTTCAGTACTGTCAGGCAGAGCCTTGACCTTTGCAAAAGTCCTACAGCAAGAGATTTGAGTCTAATACAAAGGGATCGGTCAGTTAAATTAAGAAAAGGCTGAATGAAATGGTTTTAATTATTCTTCTTAGGTACTATTCTGCAGAAACTTGGCAAAGAATGTTTTCAAAGAGAAAATGAAAACACGAAAATAAGTTTTAAATGGCTCAAATGTGTGTAGTATGTCTTAAAATAATGACATGGGATTTTATTCTTGTTACATTCGCTACTCACCCTTAGAAGCCATCATGTTTTCACACCTCTCTTAGGGTTGAGCTGGCTGTCTACATTTGGCAAAGGACTTTTTTTAAAAAATTTTGTTGTAAGTATAACTGACTTTACTCAACTTACACATTGAAGTTCAAGGTCAAATGGAATGGTTGCGCTATCTCGGTAGGATCTGTGAAAACTGAAGTGCAAACACGAACTCAAGATGTGGTTTCTAATGGGTTATAAAAAAAGATGGCAATGTAATCCTTTCTGTGTCAAGAGTGTCTACTTAGGAAATGTGTCGCTTCTTCTTCTTTATTTTTTTCTAAAAAGTAAAATTAAAAAAATGCTATGTATTTTTAGAGTGTGATTATTGCCAGCTGTCTTTGTATTTGATAATGTGTCAAGGTTAGGTTCCTGTTTACCTAAGTCAAGGAAAATAAGGTGATTTTGAAGGTTACCCATGGCTGTTTATGTAATGTACCTCATGATTCCGGAAATGAGTACTGTTTCCTGCTCAGGACTGAAAAGAAGAAATGAAATATATGGTATTCTTAAGCACCAAAATAATACAATAGGTGTAATCAATAAGGACTTGGGTTAATGAGAAATATTATTTGTACCTTCCCAGTTACCTTCAAACAATATCAAACTATTCATTGCTCTGTGAACTCACCGTGTATTTTTACCTCTTCCTCTGGTCTGAAATAATATTGCTTTTGTCTCTCCTTCTCTAGCTGAAGAACATCCATTCATATTTTAAGCCCTGATTATAATAATACTTCCTCTAAAAGATTTTCCCCAGGTAGGTCATGCTGAAGAAATTATTCCTTCCTTTCCATTTTCATAACATTTTATAAACACTCATCTTTTAACAAGTATTCTCTGGTATAGATTTAAATGTTTACATGTGGGATTTCAATGCTAGACTAAGTTCCCCACAAGCAAAGTCCTTGGCTTGCTCATTCTTCTATCCTGGAAAGTAGTGGTGCAGAAACTGACATAGAATGGTCTTTCCACACACACGTATTTGTAGGATGAGTGGATGCATACAGGAATGAACACATTACTCTGAATCAGTGCTATTTAGTACACACTGTGTCAGAATTATATCAAAATCATAAGCTCTTATGGGTTTCTCATGCTGGAGGCAAGAACAATCCCAAACAAAAATGAGCCAACCTAAAGCCATTTCTAAAACCTTTTCTAGCTCTAACATTCTGTGATTTTATGGTTTTTAGCAACTATTGGTGCATCATCTCCTGCGGCCCTCGGCTCAGGTGTGATGTAGGATTTGGGAAAGGAAATGGAACTGTGTCATCACTTAAGACTATGTCTCCCTCCACCATCTTTTTCAAATGTATACTGGAAGTGAGTGAAGCCAGTGGGTTCTCTGTGCACACAACTCAGTTGCAGAGACACCAAGTCCTTTCCTCCCCACCTGGAACAGCAGCATCATAATGCAGCAATTCTTCTCTGCATATGTCTCTCACCCTACCTCCCCATGGTGAACGCCAAAGCCTCTATGACAGCTTCACCTTAGGCTCCGGGAGAATCAGTTCTGTGTCAACTTTGGTCATGTTATTCACTACATTCTCTAAGATCATCTACAGTTTCAAGATGAAGCACTTCATTGATGTTTTCCTACTAGGCAGGTTGTGACACTTTTACAGGACAACAGTTACCAAAATAGCATCTCTACAGGGAAAGGAAATTCCCTTAGCGGTAAGCATGGTAAATTCTGTTAAAAGATAAGGAGGATGACCATTGACACAAACAGAAATCTTGGATGAGCAGTGCCATACAATAGCCACTGTTAAAGCTTATTTATACAGAAATTTCTCTAAAAGGAGATGAACTTTCACACTCATACTGCAAGTTAATCAAGTACAGAAAGAGAACATTTTTCTCTATTTTGAATGAGTGTAGTCTCCCTGTGTAAGGGGTATCTTTGCATTCAATCATTTATTTACTCAATAAACATCTTTTTTCATACAAGGCTCCACATAAGGTTATGCAGCCCTTAAGTGCAGATTAATCACAACCTGGAGTGAAGATTCCATAAATACTGGGAATACTCAGAACAGGACAAGCACGGAGTCAGTTTCTCTATTCTCTAGGATAGTCAGGTTCTCTATCAAACCACACATGAGCCATAGCAGCGGTCAGGACTGCACTGCCCTGGCCGAGCACACATGCCCCTTTCCTACTTTGCTTAATAATAGTGAAGTCCTTTCACCAGTATTTCAATATCTACCTTTTGCAACCTCTGCCAACAGCTAGGAAGTTTTCATTAGAAATATAACCTTACTTTCAGCTTTCAAAGAACTGAATTATTGATAAGTTATAAGAATAATGTTAAAAATACTTAAATAACAATAAAGAAAGATGGAATGAAATGTCAGATAAATTACACAATATGGGGAAGAGGACTTAGTTCTTTCCAAATATGTGTGCATTAGATCAGGGCATTCATGGTTTGATTTCTGACTCCGACTCTCATTAGTAAAAAAGTGTTTAACATCTAGAACTTTCTTATCTTTAAAACGTTCATGGAGTTGTTGTGAAGATGAGAAATAAAATGTTTAGCAGCAAAACATAGCTCTTTTTTATAAGCTGAAAAAATTTCATGGAAGAGAGAGAATTTGAGATCATCTTTAAAGGTTGATAGAAGTTGGGTCAATAAAAATGGAGAATGTTCCCATTTGAAAAGTACCATGAAACAAAGTCTCTGAACTTATCTTGCTCTGAATGCAAGGGCTCAAAGATACACCTTAATTACATTTAACCAGTTAAAATTCATTTTTCCCCTAAAATCAAGCATCATTTGCCATCTATCAACCAAGTACAATGTAAGAAATTCCCTCACTGGTTTCTTGGACTTAAAGGACCAAGTACTCTGGCTGAGTTCTAGCTCCAGTTTGGCTGAAGCCTCCACCGGCTCCTCTGTGATCCTCCCTCCACAGGTCATGAGGATTAACCAACCAATTTGAAACACCTCATAAAAATATGTCAGGCTTTCTAATTCCTTTCTGAATTAAGTCCTGTTCAATCCACACTTTCACTATAATGGATTTTAAGCTTTATGCACAAGTGTGGCACACCTGATCCAGGATTATAAAATTTCCCCAGCCTGCTTGTCTTGAATCATTTTAATATTGCAAAAGAAACAGAGACAGGGTTTCTGAATTCCACTTAAGTGAGGGACTTTCTGGGGTAAGTTTGCTGGGATGTTGTGCGCCAACCAATTTAGTATTGCCTCTCTTCCATTCAGTCCCATTTATGGACAAGCTGCCAAAATTTCTAAGCTGTGCAAAAACGATTAAAAATCACAGTGAGAATTAGACTTTGCTGCTGTATGCATTGCAGTATCTTGAAGAGCCTGGAGTTCTTGATTTTTTTTTTTCTTTCATGAGAAGGAAATATAAGCAATCAAACTTGTGTCCTGGCCGGACTCCTAGTTATGCCACCAGAGAAGGCTGGGCTAATTGGAGCTGCTGCACTGCATGGGCAACTTCCTCCATCAACTCCCAGAGGCCTCCAGGCTCCCCAGCACTGTCAGCAGTGCCAGCCCAGTTCTCTGCAAAATAAGCTCTCTGCAACTGGGAAACACCGACTCACCTCAGGGCAGATGCTGAAACTAAAACGAAGACTGAAACCAAAAGTTCAGTGGGTCAGCCAGGGTGAGGCAGGACACCAAAACCAGTCCCTTTGGCAAATATTTCTTTCCCGCTCAAATATGTCTATTTCCAGTCACTAAGTAACAAAATAGAGTCACACTTGT